TCTGGCTTGACTTACTAGCTGATAAAGAACATCACCTTCACTTTATTTTAACAGGTTATTTGCCATAATGCTGGGTCGACTACGCATGTCGGTGGAGCAGGCGATTGCCTCGTACAAATACCTTGCCGAACAAGTGTTTTTCGAGAGGAAGCGTTTCTCCTTCTGTCACAAATTCAGCGCCCGGAGGCTTGAGGCCGTAATGAAAGACATTGTGGTCGAACATGATGAGAGCCAAAATAAAGATGCGCTCATGCGGAGCGACGAATCGGCGCTCAGCGAATGCAAGACGTGAGTTATCCTCTCCTCGACCCACTTCGCATATCCTCGCATGAAAAAATCGAATCCACTCAAATAAACGGTGCAGATTTGTATGTGCGACGCCCCTACTCAATAAACAGTACCCTCGCCTCTTCCGCTCATATGATGTCCGTGCTGACCAAGACTTGAATTGCACAATCTGGGAAGCTGCACGAGCGACTACCGCTATTCCTGCCTTCTTCAACAGTATTTTCATTGGTGACAGTGTCAAGGAAGAGTTCATCGATAGTGGGTTGGACTGCAACAATCCTGTTATGGAGGTTCTGGAAGAGGCGCGATATCTGTTCGGCAAGCGCCCGGTAGCATGCATCGTGAGCATTGGGGCAGGATCCTTTTGCTCCACATGCAATGCGACCGTACTTCAATGCCTACTTCCTTCGAATTTGAGTCAGGTGCTTGAAAGATTATCGGCGGCCTCGGAGAAAGTGTCAAAGGAAATGTACAACGAGAAGGATGGTCCAAGAGAATACTTTCGCTTCAATATGACACCCAAGCTTCGAGAGAACTTGCTCTTCGAGTGGCAGAAGACTGGTGATGTGGAGTCAGATACTCTACGATATTTAGGAGAGGATGCCGTAAAGGCGAATATTGACAAGTTACGAGACATATTGAGGGCGAGAGTGTTGCTGCGATGAGTGGAGTATGTGTATTCATTTATATTATCGCGTATATATTCGAAACCTTGTTAATGCGAGTAAGATGATGAGGAAGTTCGGGCGAGCGTTGCGGGAAAGAATGCAATTCTTTGAGTCCAGGCATTTTTCGAGCGCGGTACGTCCTCCCGAGAGAGGAAGGGGGCCGAAACTCAAGCCAACTATGAGGGACTAGTGAGATACGAGTAGTAGTAGACTGAAAACTGTAGGTGGACTGGGAAGAAGATTCACCTGCGAGCACAGTGTGAGACGACGGGGGTCGTCTCACTGTTGCCCGCAGATATATATTGTAAAGAGAACAATGTATACAAAGGGACTGGCGAGACAATGATACAAACGAAAGTGAAGAGTGTGAAGAGAACGGTGATCTAATTTTCGCCCGAATTAATCCCGGGAAACCCCCTCATATACTTGCCCGATCCATGAACATTATTCATTTGACTCATCCATTACATATTACAGGACAACGAATAACTGTGAGAACTAGACAGGGCACAAACGAAGCAGTAAACATAGACTCGGAACGAACGCCGGCATACAAGCTAAACAAAACAACATGAGCACGAGCATGAGCCATCCCACACCAATCCAGGTACACATCACCGCAATTACACCAGGATACGGGTATCAATCAATCACACAGCATACACACCAACCACATCTTTCAACCACATTCTACACCGCTCGATCGTCTCCTGAGAATCAAAACCGAGGTCAACAACATCTCAACACAGTTGATTCCGACACGAATCCCCACACCGAAGCAAAACAAATAAAGACTGTTACTCACCTCATCGGCACCTACCAGTCCCATCAATTCGCTCTTCACATCCTGCACTGCTCTCTCCGCCCTCGCTTCTCTCTCCCTCCTCCACTTACTCGAAGCGACGGGCGGACCAGGTGCAGCACACAGCTCGTACATGTACCAGGGCTCCACGTCTTCGTACCGGCGTACAAGCACGACGCAGAGGCCATGGAGAAGCGCGGATGCAGTGAGGAGGGAGAGTGGGTATTTGAGCACGTCTGATTCTGTTCGTTTGGGATAATTAAAGTGGATTAGTGAATTAAGTTTGTGTTTCGTCCTCGAGACCAATCCTATTGGAACGAAGTACCAAAGAGGATGAATGGGAGGTAGAACTAGAACAAACAGAGAACCGAAGGCACGAACGAAATTTGAATCCTAGCCACGATGTCGGGAAAACAAGGAACAATCGAGAATATAAGAAAACGCAAAAAAAAGAACACGAGCGAGTGAAAAGAATCGGCCATCTCCTTATATAAATATACCCACAGTCCGAATAATCAATCACAGAGCGAAAAGAAAAGAAGCACTGAACAGAGAATCCCGACCACGAATCTCTGAAACAACAAACTCACCGATCACAGCAGCACACAAAACTCTCCACGTCTCCCTCTGCACCAAATTCCACTCCACTCCCTCTTCTCCCTTTTCACATTTATCTTTTCCAGTCCTGCGCCCGCATCCGCACTCACTGCACCCGCACCCAACCTTGGACCCCGCATTACTAGCCCTCCTCAAAAGCCTACGGAGCCCAGGCACGCCCTCCCACACCTCGCCCAGCAGGCCCTGGGGCGTATCTCCCAGTCTAAACTGCAGAGCGCCGAGGACGTCGCGGTGCGCTGTCTGATGGCGTTGATAGGGGCGAGAGTTGGTGTTAGTGTGGTTTGCGCGGAGTGAAGGGGTACGGGGGGGAGACAGAGACGGAGAGAGAGAGGGAAGGGGAAATGGGAAAGGGACACACCTCGAGATCATCGTAACCCACCGGCCCATGCGGCGCAATCTTCATAAATTCCTGTGCGTACACGGGGAGAAGCGGGTGCAGAAAGTCGCGGTGGTACTGTTTAGTATTAATCGTGGGTTAGTGCGAGCACGAGGAACAGTGTGTCATATTGATAGCATGTACGTGGGGTCAGAGGGGTGGACGAAGGGAAGAACGGACCTTGATACTAATACCCAAACAAGCAACTCCAACGTCCCACGTAACGAGTCTCCTTCCTTCTTCGTCTAGCTCGCTTCCGAATGCCCACCTTTCCATTTCCCTTTCCCTTTCATTCCTACTTCCCCGTCCGCTTTCCTTCTCAGCCGCACCATCACCGACCCCCGACCGCCCAACGAGCCAAAAGAACCTCAAAAACAAATATGCAGCATGGAATCGTGTTTCGGGGGACATGAGGAGCTGGTCGGCGAGGTTCGTACGACACGGTGATTGAGTTTGGGATTCGCGAGAGTGGGAAGTCGAGGTGGAGTCTGAGTAAGAATGGGGATGGGAGAAAGTGGTGGTTGTGATCGCTATTGAGGATGGGGATAAGGTGCTTGATAATGAGATAGAGGTAAGAGAGGAAGGGGTGGTTTGGATGGATGTGGGTGAGATAGTCCCGGTGCATGTTTTGGTAGAAGAAGAGGTGGTGGATGAGAAGGAGGTGCAGGAGGAAGAAACCGAGGTGGAGGTAGAGGTAGACCTGGAGGCAGAACTGCTGACGCTGGAGCCAGTGTAGGTGCATGTGACGCTCCCATCCTCACTATTCTCTTCACAACGATACTTACGCGTGGCTTTACGCTCTTCATCGCCTGGAGGCGGAAGGACCTGTACCCAAAAATTATAAACACAGAACCTCACCCACGACCCAAGAGCTACGACGACACTCACCTCCATAAACCAACTGATAACCTCATCTCTCAAGTCCTCCCCAACACATTCCCATCCCCATTGCGTCTCTACCATATCCAGCCCCTCCAACCCGTCCTCCACACGCACCCCCCTCTCCCGTTCCACGAGCCTCTGAATCCTCACACGAGCCGGGGATACTGTCGACAAAGGCGGGAGCGAGTCAGGCGGTGCGATGATCGGCACGTCTATAAGCTCATTTCGGCGTTTGTTCTTGGTGCGCGTGATGACAGGGGTGGGGACGGACATGCGAGCGTTTGGTGGGACGAGGAGCGTTGGAGGTGAAGAGGGCGAGGCGGCGGCTGTTGGGATTACATTCTACGCATATATGATACCATGAGTATTAGTGTAAAGGAGAAAAAGCGCATATATGCGTTAAAAAAACTCGAATGCGTACTTCCTTGTTGTCATTGGAGTCGTGAATGGACCTCAATGACGCGGCTCGCCTTAGACTTGCAGGTGTCCTCGCGAGGTTTGTTCTCAGATGGGTGTGGGTTGATGTACGGGTGAGGATCTTTGATCGTTTGCGCGGGGGTTCAGTCTCAGTTTCTTCCCTGGAGTTTGCGTCTGTAGGAAAGTCATCGCATTTCCGAGGACAGAGATACGATGATGCGCGGTGGATGATACGAGAGCTGAATCCAGCTTTAGCTTTTTCGTCAAGAGCAGGAGCAGGTAGATGTATGCGCAGCAATGGAGAGCTGAGAGGCTGGGATGGAGCAAATACAATTGGGCTGAGGTCTGTGAATGGAGAGGCGTACGCTTCTGCGTCAATAGAGCCAGTACAAGAGAAAGAGTCTGTTTCGAAATCAGTATCATCCGTTTCAGTGTTGACTTCAGCGCCAGTCGACGAAGTAGAAGACAATAAAGCCCGCAAGTCAAACGTTGCCTGGTAGGTATTGATAAACTCAGTGTCGTCTCCAGCACGGGTATCGACATCGACACAAGCAGCCTTGTCGACGTTGTCCTCATTCTGACGTCGCTCGACCTCACCAAGCAGCTCTCTCAAACGACACATGAACCCTTCATCAGGTACACATGGCGCACTGTCACTGGGCTCAACTCCGAGTTCGACGGTGGTGCTGACGGTGGTGGTGCTCCCGTCCGACCACGAAGGCGAGCTGGATGAGATGGGGTTTGGAGGCGTACTGGAGAATGTGAAGACTGGAGGACTGGAGGACGCCAGATAAACGCCAGGGGGGCTCAAGAACCTCTCGGGTGGGCTGGAACTTGAGCTTCCCATCGTCGAGTGCGATGAGGGAAGAGAGAGCCCTGGTTCAGAAAAAGATCGGCTCCGGATCTGGAATTCTGAATCATGTGGAAGAAAAAACCCTTTCGTCTGTATTCTTTGCTAGTATATCGGTTAGTACACGCGCCTGTCATGAGACAACCTTCGTCGCGCGAAAGCTGGGTTCGACTCCCAGGCAAAGAGATAACACTTGGGTAGACATCATTATTATTTATTAGTCCATATTATATATGGAATGTGGTGGTCTTTTTTTCTGGGTGCATACACACAGAAGAAATGGGTTGACTTCCAAGCAGGCCCATGTCTTATTATTAATCAATTCATCATCTTTGTTTTATTCATGTTGCTTAGACTCGAGGACCGTTGTAGTACATATCTCCATCCCACCTCGCTCGCTCAAAAATTCTCATCGCCCTGCAACTCTCCCAATTGATCGCCCTTTCTCACTCAATAGCACCAGCCTCTTTGCAGCGGGGTCCTGCGCTGTGCTCACGCGAACTCTGGGTTCGACTACCACACAGATCGCGATCAATCATGTCTGTCATGTAAGCATGTTTTCACATCTTGCCATACACTCAACTTCTGCATACTTAGACAATACTTACTCGATTCCCTGATCGCGCAGGCCAGTCAAACAGAGCACGATCCCCATTTAATTCGCGCGGACCGCGCTATACACATGTTTCTTCCACCATGGCTCGAACGTCAAAAAAAACATCATCTTCTCTTAAAATTTCACGACTTCAACGCTTGTGCGGACGCTCAGCACCAGTCACGTCATCGACAGCCCTACTATAACATCACATCATCGGTTCTCTGCACTTCTATAATTTCTTTGTCTTTAAAGATACATGACGTTTGGGCCTTCGTATCCGTCATACAGACAACTGCTCACCCCATCTCAAACGCAACCGTGTGTCTTTACGTAAATACTCACAACCTTGGGCCCTCGCCGCAGCGTCAGACTCATTTGGCAAGACGCAAACTTGCGAAACGACATGCTTACTTATCATCTCGAATCTCGAGTAGGCAATGATGATGTGACCGAGGTACATGTGTGTTGTCTGACTATTATTTGCCGATCTCCAAGTTCTCGGTATGTTGAAGTGTGTGTGATTGGAACGAGGATGGTATTGTATTGATACAATCATGGTTTCTTTCAATCTTTTTGCGTTGATGAGAGGGTCTCGATGCTTGAATACTGCGATGTGATCTGTTCGCTCATGCATGTTTTCTGCCTCTACTTCTCGATTTCAGCATCCGGTCATATGATTTGCGTATAGTATGGTATATCTTGAGTAAGGGGGGGATCGTATATGAAGTGTGCTATGATGATGATGTTCTAAAAGACATAAATAAATTGAAGTGTTCATGAGTAAAATTGAAGTTGTCTGTATGGTAGTACGAGTACGGTATGCAGATCGTCCACAGTGATTAGTATTCAACTTGAAGGATGGATAAAGCTGCTATATTTGGCGGATTGGTGAGCTTGAAAGATGTCCGAAATTGAAGACGTACACATCTGAGCTGCATAAGTGTACCGAGTTGCATATAGACCACGACGTATCACCATAATTGTGTAGGAGACTGTGCAAACTCAGTAAGAATCGAACGAGACGACATCAAAAACATGTAGAGTTTACGCAATTAAGGTGCCCTCCACGCCATTCATTTGTGTGGCGGGGCTAAGTTCTAGTCAAACCAGAGTCGTAAGTACACCTAGATTTTAGCTCGTGACGCACCAGCAGTGATTGGTGGCTCGGCAATCACGTCGTGACCAGAAAGCTCGATGCTCGGGATGATGCTGAAGAACAAACATTAGGTGGTGAACAAATACAAAAGATCATGACGACGAACCTTACATATCCCAAGACATCGGCGGCCAAACACTCCCCGCCTGCTAGAGCCCGTCTTACGATCGCAATACGTACAGTGTATATCTGCACTCCCCAGGGTATCTAGGGGCCTAGCAAGTCTGTCTGCATCAGCCCCCGTCGCAGATGCCAGCCGAAGAGCGCACGATATACCCACGGGGGTACATTGCCGATACCGGACTGCTACCTCTTCCAGCCTTACGGCCGTCATTCAGGTGGGGCCCGAGCATCCCGCCCACCCCACCCTCTGTGGTTGTGCGTACGGATTCTATAATAACGGGTGATCTAGCAGAGTGATTGGGGATTGTCTGTAGTGCGGTTCCTCTTCGAACGGAGTCGAGGGTCGCAGTAGACGTTGAGGAAGGCGAAAGCTTGAAGCCGAGTAGTGTGGCGACGTCTCTGCAAGCGCTGGAAGAAGTCTCAGCAGGACATAAACAGTAGAAAAAATCGCATACATCATGATCGTCTAGCTAGGTGGAGGAATAGACGCCTCATAGCGAAGTCGACGATGAGGTCAAAGAAAGATGAGCCTGGGACGCTCCCAGAAGCCTCATATGCCGAACGTCGCTATCTGCGATCGCAACGTATGAGACGATGGCAAGTAGTGAGGCGCAAAGGTAGTGGTAGGATAGAAAGGGGGCTCTGGAATTTCGTTGTTGTCCGCCCAGGGGTTTTATAGATCCTTGGTGGCGTATTAAAACCGCATGGGCTCGCACGGAACAAGTAACCACATGGTGAATCAATACAATATCTGTCATTTAATCCACACATCACAGATGACTTTTGTTCTCTTCTTGGATTGTGGGTGACTACTTTGACCTCGTGCTTATCCGAGTCGGGGACCAGAAGTGATCTATAGGGAAAGATCGGACCGGTTGCGCCGTACTTACACCCACACGACAATTGTATTCAACTGTACTAGTGTTCAGTTCCTGTACTGTCAGAATTGTCAACATCATCGACATACCTAGTCACCGGACTTCCCTCTCGGAAATTCTATCTCATCTCATTATCGTTATATAATTCAGGATTATTTGAAAATAAGTGGACCGTGGCGTTTCAAAGCCGCATGAACCCGCACGGAAAAGGTAACAATATGATTCGGAGTCAATACATACACCATCTGTCATTCAATCCACACGATACAGATGCTTCTTGTCCTCTTCTTGGATTGTAGGCGACTACTCGATATTGTGCTCGTCGGGGATTGAAGTATGTAGATTCGTAACTCGAAACAGATGAGGTAGATGACGCGTACACAATAGCGCGCCCACAACAACCATTTTGAACTAGGATTGCAAGAGGTTACCGTTCACATCCTCAACTCCAGCACTGTTTGAACCATCGAAAGCATCTACATGCCAAGCGAAATCTCCTCCCAAAGCCCCAATCCGATCGAGGTTGACTCGGAACCGCAGGAGTACATCTACCTACTGACGTATATGTACACGGAGATACTGTACACCACTAGTCGGTGGCAAAAAAGGCTCATTCAACGTCAAATCCACTTTATTCTTCGAAAGGTCTAGCCTTTGTCCGTATTATACCGTGTTGCGAAGGAACAGATCTTGCATCAGCGAGTGTCATCGTGTCGCTTACAAGTCGGGGCTTTACACAGTATGATATCAAGCGAAAGTCCTCTTCGCAGGTGCAAGTACACAGTTACTTATCAATCTGGAACATTCAAGTAGCATAACGTTAGAACAATAGACGTGCAACGTTTAGGCCACTGAGTTCAAGTTTGTAGTACACAAGATGACCTTACCTGATTCTATCGCGTTCAATAGTACATAGATACAGCTTGTTTATTGGCTTAAACTGATAAATTAAGCACGGCTCGGCCTGTATCAAATCCTTTTTCGATGGACAAGAACCGACAGAATGAGCGCCGTATATAGACATAAGGTTTGGTTGGTTTGCTAGTTGTGATTATACCGGCCCATGCTAAACGACCGAGCCTCGTACTACATACACATGAGATAGTGTTCTATAAAAGGTTGAGCGGACATTTCATGACGGATGGGTTATCCCTGCAAGGATATCAGAGCGCTCATTTCTTGCTCCCGTGTTTTTGCGAAGGTTTTAGTTATATACCAGTTGTAATCCAAACTTTGCACAGGATCCTCCTCTGAATGATGCATTCTATAAAAGTAGTTCGAGATGTTCGCCAGCTTTTGGAAATACATCAGACAAGTAAGCTGGCACCTGCGGAACAACAACAGACGTAGGGATCATCTGACATCCAGAAAGCGTCAAGCATAGCTGGATAATTTCATGCTATTTATATCGGGAATGACACAAGCATCCAACGTGTTGCCAAGCCAATCCATGTTGCAGCAGTGTTGCCTGGAGTGCACGAGACTTGATAATGTGAATGCTGGCTGAATATGAGGGTGTCATCCCGAAGCAAGTAAAAGGGTATAATGTGTGGGCCATGCAAGAGCCATTTCTTTGACAAAAGCGTCATCGAAATTGAGGCGTTTAAATTGAAGTTTTATATCGTTTGCCAACTTGGAGACCTGTAATCCTGACAATGCAGTATTTTTTTTCGGAGACGAGACCAATTGGGGAATAATTATTGATCTCAAGACGACGTGGAGGTTTTGAACAGGCTCTGACCATTTCGGAAGTCCAGCATATGAAAACCGACCAGTCAAGATCGTGATAGAGGATAGGGTGGAATCATCCATCATGATAACTTGCATTCTTAATTCCAGATTTGAGTCTCTCATAAGCCCAAGGCATGTAAGAAACGTGAATACAAGGGATGGAGGGTTGAAGGAAATCCAAATGAGAGTCGAGCGAGAAGTGAGGGGATTGTAAAGTCAGTAGCCGGGCCGAGTGGGTGAAAACTTCTGCAGTGCTTCCGTTTGTCCCGGTCGAATATGGTCGACGGATTGGATTGAGACCTCTGTCAAAGACGGAAACCACATAGCAAGGTTAGAGATGAACGCTCGAAACGAATGTTCTGTATCTTTCCCACAGGTATAAGAGAAAAATCGCAATCGGTAGTCCATGAGCAAAGAGATAAAAATAAAACCTTCTGAATCCCGAAGACTAATCATTAAGTGGCGGTAGAAGTGTCGGATATTGGCTAGCAAGGCTCAACCACCTGTTGAAAAGTTGAGAGGTCTGATAAACAGAAATGCCGAGTCGGACCTTCCTACTAGTCGACCGATTTTTCTGAACTAGCGGGCCATGTTTTTGGACACGCGAGCAGTCCGTGGGACGGATCTTCCTTCCAAATTTCCAGAACACATGCTATGAGTTGACTAAGATATCAGAGGCAGAGAGAACGTACGAAGTCAT